CTGTTTACCATGTGCCAGGTGCTTTTCTAGGTGCTTGTATTATTTCAGTTAAGCTTAATCACGATAATTTAAAAAATTCAAAAGGCATGGAATACAAAACAAATGAAACCATGAAATAAATGCCTTGAGAGATGGGCTGCTTTCACGTGGCCTTTTATCCTTGCACTCTGCTCACGTTGAACTTTCTCACCCCATTCTCATCGCTGCAGAGTTCATGTTCCCCTCTGTTTCCCATTGTTCTTAGTCTGTCTCAGAATCAGTCTTCTTGGCAGTCTGTCTCCCTGAATCGGGTTTTCTCATGGTGCTCCCCACCTGCCTGTGGGGACGAGCCACTCTGCCCCCACAAGCTTAGAGGGGAAAAGGCCAATATGTGTGTTGTATTCCTGGGAAGTACTGAAAATTTCAATTTCAAATGTTAAAGCAATTTGTCCCTTTTTTTGTTTGTTTGTTCAAGTAGTTTAGTGACTCTGGCAAATAAACTAGCTTGTTGTGACAATCACCGAGTTTTTTCTTCCTCGTAAGAGGTATTTATTAAATCTTGTGAAATCTGAAAGGATTATGTTTAATGTCAAAATAACACTTACAAAGCAATACTTTATAACTTGAAAATGTCCCAAGCCTTTAGGTTAGTCTAAATGTTCTCTTAATATGCAAAAGCAAGATTTGGTTTCCATCCCCTGTAAAAGCAGCAGCTGAGTAGGAAATGTAACATATAGGAATAGCNTATTTTGGATGACTGATTTCCATCTAATTTCTTCAGGAGAACCCATAAGTATTGAGCACTTGCATCGAGCTGTCAACGTGAATGATGAAGATTTGCTTGTTCGAATACTTCAAGGAGGGTGAGAGGACTCTGCCAATTTTTTTTTTAAATGCCCATAAAGAGCATAGAAATACACCATGTAGCTTTGTTTTCTTAAAAATTCCCATGACTTTGAAACTGACTCTAAAATTCATCTCAGGTGTCTGTGAGTTAATAAAGCATAGTTAATGAAGACGATCATAAAGCCCCATGTAAATATTATATTTTGTAATTATTTAATGAAAATTGTAAAAGGAAATTACAAGCCTGGGTGTCATATTTTCTTCCCACAAGTAATTTCTATCCCTTGCTTACATGCCATAGCATTTAGGCAAATTTCACCCCAGAATGCCCACATTTAATTCCTGGTGAAATTAGAGAACCACTAAATCCTCTGCATTTTAATTTTAAAAGGTTGATTTAACACTAGAGAAAAATGGTGAATGTAACTGCTGCAGATGAGACGTTTGAAGCTGCCTCCCTAATAAAAAAAAAAAGTAGACAATGTTATCTAGATTCTTTTTGAATCAACACTTTTGAGTGTCTTAGTCACTTGTAAATCGGGGCTCTGTAAGTTGGAGAAGAGAAGGTTCTCATAAGAAGCACAGCTTCTAAGCTGACCCTAAGACCTCTGCTTGCTTCTTGGAGCAGCAACACTCCATACCCGGTAGGTGACGGTGGCAGTCAAGGGTAGGACTTGGGTCTCCACCAATATGGACTCGTTTCAGGGACTGAGAAACTCTGCAGTGAAGGTGCTGTGCTTGGCTAACTTAAAGAGGCGGTGCTTGTTAGAGAGTGTTTTATCAGAAAGCCTGATGGTTTTCAGCTGGAGGGGGTGCCTGTTTTAAGTGAAATGAAAGCCATTTTCTCTTCTTTTCTTGTAAATCTCAATCTTTTAAAATATTAGGCAGGGCAGTCTAGGACAACAAAAACTTAATGGCCCAGAAGAAATTGGAATTTTTGGTAAAATGGGCCATTTTAGCCACCT